TTTGGTACATAGTGATTATGAATTTATTAATTTTTCTAGAAAAAGATTCTGCTTTTAGTTGTCTGTCAAGTGCATCGCATCTTAACGGTTAGGAAGGAAATGTTGATGTTTGGCTTTTTCCCCTTGAGGATTTGCAGAGACGTCTGAGCACGCCCAGACTGCCTGGTCCTTCTGCCCCAGGTAAAAGCCGAGAAGACACTGATGACCAGGAAGGATCCTCACGGTTCTCACCAGAAGAAAACGGTATCAATTTTAAGAAAAATGGAAGGTTGAAGAAATCATTTAACATTAGTGTTTCTTAAAAAGCTGTCCCTTTTATCTTCCTTTGAATTCATTAATTATAGATCCACCACATGATTTATAGATACTGGCAGAGAAGGAGGTGGAAATTATTCACGCTGGGAACTCCTAGTGGACTCCTGTTAGGTAGTTTGGATGCTATTAAATGTTCCACGCTACAGAGAGACATGAATTCAGGATGAAAGGTTGTGTTCCTGGATATTCTGGAACTGCACCTATTCTCTCCAAAAATTTAGAGTTTAGTCATTTTAAAATATTGGAATGGCTTGTATTTGTTAAAAATTGTTTCTTTTACCCATTGACATATAGTGCAGACTATGAAATCCTGCATGTCTCAGGAGGAGCATCCAAAATTTCCTAAGCACATGAGAATTAAATTACTTAAATTATGTCTATTTCATATTCTGAGTGCATGCATTTGCAATTAGCTATGTCAGGCATTTTTCTTTCATTTAATTTCATCATCATCAAGTAGTATTTATTAAGCACAAACCTGGCTAATTAATTTTCTAGAGAATAACACATACTCTTAAATTCATTCTCTCTATTTAAGAGCCCTTAAACAATCCACCTGATATATGACATTTTTTCCTAACAAAAATTGCCTTTAAATTCAAATTTTACCTTATTATTTCAAGGTTTCATTAGGATGCATTCCACTCCCGAAGTCATCATATTCAAATAAAAAGCATTATCCAGAACTAATACAATAGACTTCATGTTTTTTTTCTTATTTCTATTACAGGGTATTAATATCTTACCCGACTTTTCTACAACACTACTCTTTTAGTTATGTGTTTTTTTCCAATAGTCATTCTTCAAAGTGTGAAAATAAGCTGTTTCAGTATAATCAATAGAGGTAAAAATGCGTTTTTGCTAAAAAGTTTTCAGTTAATATCTCACATCAAAAGCAAATCAAAGGAATGCCTATTGATCTCAAACCACATGGATTCAAAATGTTTAGTAAATGAATATAAAAATATGTAAGGTTATGATCACATTGAGATTTTATTTGTGCTTCCCTGGAAAAAAAAAAAGTAATTTTTAAAGTCGATTTAGGGAAAGGGGAATGTTTTTCTCAAGGCCCTTTTCCCTAACTGCACTACCAACACTATTCCTCTGGGTTTAACAGCAACAGCACCACCATATGCCTTTCTGATTCCAACCATAAAAATAAAATTTTAGAAAATTATCCTTGTGGACATCATAATTTCATCCCAATCACGGGAAGAAGTTAACACACATGCTTGTATCTAGTGGATTTCATTTCTAGGTGCAATGACACTGTACCTTGGGGCAAATGCTCAGGGGGAAGGGCAGAAACTAAAATGAGACCGATCACACATGTACCGCACACTCGGGCCTGGGCAGATTAACATCAGCTGTCCCAGGAAGCAGCATTGGCCGCTATGGCCAATGGCCACTTGGACTGAACCGTAACAGCACAGCTGAAAGTGATGCTTCCGCGAGGCCTGGGAAGAGCTCCTAGAGGTGAAAGCCGCCTGTCATCACGAGGGTTAGGCTGACATACACGAGAAAGAGTTGCTGGGTTTCACGTCTTACTACACAGACTGGAAGTTACATATCAAAATGAGATCAGGCATTTGGACAATGCTCAGTAGGGTAGAAAAACTGTTCAATTTGCACTTAGAATGAGTCAGGGACTCACTTCCAGGAGGGTCTTGCAGGATAGCTGGATGCTGTCATTTACATCTCTCTTAGAAATAATGTGAAACTAGAGATGGACCGATAGAAAGACGGTAGCCTGAGAGGCAAGGGAAAATAAAAGAGGCCCTCGGTTAGAGTCACAGTCATTCCAGGGTTTTACATCTGCCAGGAGGGAGCCTCTCTTCATTTATACCAACAGAGTAGAGCACACGGTATCCATAGGAAGAATGTGGTCACACTTAGTTTCCAGAAAATCAACCTTTCCTAAAGGGAAAACACCTTGAGAACCAATTAGTAAGAGACGGCAGAAAAACAATGTGCTCCAGCAAAAAGATTATTTTCTTGGTTTTGGGTAAGGACCCGGGGCAACATGCTAAAGTGGATGTTCCCAATGCTTCTCTCTCTCCCCTTTGCCCGGGGATATTGTAGACTGTTACATTTTATCCTCTTGACAGGGACAGGAACAATGTCTCAAAGCAATTTTTGTGAGACATAATCCTGAATCATGGAACAGGTGGCATTTTTTGGAGGAGTAACAGTAGATTATTGGAACAGCAGAGAGAGAATAGAAAAATAATTGTTTTCTTCCCTTGGTTAATCAGATTCCTTGTGAGCAAAGCCTAGGTCTCTACCCTTTACACTGCAAAAGGTAAATAAGACAAATGGATACTAAACATTCATGAGGCTAAATTCATGACTGATGCCTCTTACTGTTCAAGATCCCCTATAAATATGCGGCCCAGTGGTTTTTAATGGTGTGACTGTCTGACTCAGCAGACCCCTGTCAGGAAAGAAATTTACATAAATGGAAAGTGAAATCTTTCTGCAAAAAAACGGGACTGTTAGAAACTGCTTAGGTAAGGAGATGCTCACTTACACAAACACGGACATACATATTAAACCTGCCCGCTGATATCTTCTCGAGCTGAAGTTATTGCCCATAAAAAAGCTAAGATGTTTGCTTTTAATTTCCAAAAAGTCATCTCAGTTTCAATTTTACGTGGGATAAATTCTGCAAATAGATCTATCATTAGGAATACGAAGAAGAATATCAAGGTAGCATCCCCAAATGTGGCCAAGGACTCATCCTTACATGTGGCGCATGGCGCTTCGATAGCTTGACTGAGGAAGAGAGCGTGATACAACCCTAGCCCAATGGACGCCGTTCTCTAGAAATATCAAGGAATGACGCAGAAGGGCCTTCATCTCGGGGCAGCGGAGCGCAGCCTCTGGAGTCAGACTGCCAGGATTCAAACCTTAGTTTAACAATCCCTGTCCACGTGACTGCAGGAGAGGCACTAAACCCTGCAATATCTGCCTTAATGAAATGCATGCAAATAATCTAATGTGAGTGTGAAGAAAAAAATACACATGAAACACTTATAGTATCCAGCATACACTAAGCACAATAAACGTCCATTGCTGTTATTTTTACAGTAATTGCTATTGTTTTTCCTTTTGCTCCTGCTTCTATGTTGAATTGAATGACTGGCTTCAGTTCTTCACCATTCTCTGCACTCACACCTTTGCCATACCTTTACTATAGGTCGAGTGTGTTTTTCTCCTGTTTTACCTTGAACTCAGCCGTGTGACTGCTCTGGCCAGTGGCCTACGCATGGAGTGGCACTGTGCCAGTGCAGGGCCCAGACATTAATGGGGTTCACCCTTTGCCACTGGCCCTCTGACACCTCATGGCGTCAGAGGGACATACTCTAGTGGGCCTGCTGCTCCAATGAGTAGCTAAAATACGTGGCTCACACTCAGACCTGTGTTACTCACTGAACGATAAAGAGACACCAGCCTGAATCAGAGTCCTCCTGCTCCCCAGCTGCTCTGCCCAGGCCATGAGAGAAAGGCTTCTTAATGTATGTTATTGAAATTTTGCTATTTATGTGACAACGGCTAACTGAAGCAAGAAGTGAATTAAAGAACTGCCTATTCAAAATACATGTCTTATTTCCCAAGGAAAAAGACATTAGTGTGGGTGTCTGGACCTGAAACAAATTCAAGGGTAACGGGGAGAAGACCGGAAGGTTATCATGGGCAATGCACTAACTGCTTTATGTGTGATGTTTCTTTTAGTTTTAACAACGGCACAGGAGGTGGCACTACTGATTTTATAAACCGGGAAACTGAGACACGCTGAGAATGAGTAACTCCCTTACATTCGCTGAGGGGGGAGGGGAGCCAAGACAGAATTCCAACTCAGGAGGTTTCCCTGCATGGTATGAGATGATCATGATGGTGATGGGCGGTGCAAACACGTACCCCCCCCCCCCCGTACCCACTTTACTACATTCATCACATTGTGCCCCCATTAATCTAGGGAAGCTGTAGAACCCTAGGAAGTAGGTATGATTTATTACCCTCCCCGTACAGATGGGGAAATGGGAGGCAGCTGATCAAGTTGCTGGCCCTCCTTTTCTCATAGCTACAAACCATTAATTAGCCAGGTTAATAGCTATTAGCATGCTGCCCTCCCCAAGGTGAAAGGGCAGAAACACCATCTTTCTTTTCTTCTGGGGATGTTTAAGCTTCTCCAAGGATTCAAAAGCAAATATGCCTTTTGGACACCATGGTTACCGTCAAGTGCACACAGTGTGATGATGACCTCTCACTCTCAGGACAATCACTCTCAGGTTCTACTTAGATGTCACTCTCACATGCACAATCGTCTTATTTGCTGCCTTTACATTCACTTGTTTTTATTTTTGCTTTTCTGATTGTGTATTTTTAGACCCAACTAGTTTCAAATTCAGAGAAATCATAATGGAGTGAAAAAAAGAAGGCAACAAGGGACCTTAATCATGGTGGGTCTTAGAGGTACCTCTAGGAAGGAAAGAATCACCTCTTAAGGTGCAAAAGGAGCCAGTTGTTCCTCGGATCTGTCCATGCATACATTTCCTACACCTGGCAGGAGAGAAAGCCTCTGTAGTCTCAAAGCTTCAGATGCTTTCTCCATCCACGCTCCAAGCATGACAGTGCATCTCTGAGTACCTTCCCCTGAACAGGCAAGCGTCGTTCCTACCCACCTTAAAAGCAGCACCTCCGTGGATGATGGATTTGATGAAAATTCCCAAGTCTGTTCTGGTTTCCCGAGACTTGTTGCCTTTCAAGCTCACCCCAAGGCCAGCAGAACCTGAATCATTCAGGGGAATCTCAAAGGTGAGTTGCTCGGTTGTCTCCAGGGAGAGCGCATAGCAGTCAGGTTCTCCTTTCTGTTGGGGATATGAAAGGAGGGAAGCAGATTAATATTTCACACTCTCAGATGCAAACACTGATGATAGAGGATGATTGGATTCTAATAGCTACAGTGCTGCTCCTGGGAGCCAAAGGCTGGTCTTCACTCGGCAAGAGGCACCTCGTATTTATCCAGGGGGTGGAGGAAGAGGTCTCAGGGAATAACAACTGATTATGATCAACAGAGGGGATCATTTGGCAAGGCAGGGTCATGTGATTTGAAACATCCCATAACAAGCATTTAGAAACCCAGCAGAATATTCACCATGAAAGAGGCTAGACATTGCACTTTGTGAATCTTAGATAACAGAAGAGATCTTGGAAATAACACAGTCTCAACATCTTCATTTTGTAGATGAGGAAACAGTGTAGAAATGTCTTAAAATTTCAGAGCATCGTCTAGCTTTACAATCTCAGACACATCATTGACCATGGAAGCAGTGCTAGACCAGCAGTGGAAGACTGCCAACAGGACGCAGGGCACCGAAAAAACAATGCTACCCTAAAATTAGAGCAATGTGATTTATAAAAGATATCCCTAAATTAAATTTCACTTTGTCAAAACTCACGCTTTATGCATGCATTTGAGGGTGGCATCACTCACTGCCATCCAGTGTCTGAACCCAAACAAAAATGATTATGCACAGCAAATATTCATGTCATCCTTGACAAATGCCACCTGGCCACAAGCATGCTGCCTTGAGGAATACGGAGAACGTGGTGGGGGAAAACGTATTTAGGATCCAGGTCTCCAGGAAGAAGCATGAGGTTAATCACGCTTGGTCCTTAGTGCTTTCAAATATGCAGGGGTGGGAACAGACAAGCGCTGTCCATGTCGCCGTCTCTGGAGGTATCCCTTCTACAGTCCTCTCCAGCTTGCAGAAACTCTGCCCCCGCACAAAACTGAAACATTTGAAAATGAGATGTCCCTGGAAACGATCAACTCATTCCAGGTCGGTGGTTCCTTCCTCTCTATAATTAGGTCTAGAGACTCTCGTCTTAAGGTCACTTTGGAGGGACTCTTAAGTAAAATTACATATTTAAAAAATTACTATGAATGTCTGAATGTCAGTCACATAACCATAAAATCAGAAGTGGCAGAGAACCTATAATTAAAATGGGATAAAGGTCTGATCATAGCCAGATCCATTGACATGGCATTTTCAACCCCTCCCAAAATAGAGAAAAGCCACCTCCAGGTTTTAAAGAAATAGTTTCCACATTTAATTTCCCTGTAAATGAATTTAGCTGTAAAGATTTTGACAATAGGTTGTTCAGAGAAACGAAACTTTATTGCTTAATTTAATAAACCTATTAGACATTAGCTTTTTTAACTAACTCATTATATTATTATCTAAGAAACAAACCCCGTTATTTGATTCTAACTAGTTATATGTTTTTCCATTAGAATGCCAAGAGTTTAGGATTAAATGTAAGCTATTTGCCTTCATCTGTGTCTTCCCAAATACCCACTTTAGAATTCACAGCATTACATAGTCATTTATATTTCCAGGAACCTTCTGTATTTGATTAATTGCAGTCTAATAAAGTCTCACTGAATTAAAGTAAATATTAAAGAACAACTATTTTTTTTTTTTTTTTTTT